GTTTGAAAATCATCATGGTGTGCATTTCTGTAAAGTCAGTGAGTGTTTTGCAATAGGAAATGCTTAGTGGATTATTGTGGAATAATAACTAACCACATGATTCAAGTACAAAAGAATAAAGCAGCCATGTGTTGCCATTCTGAAGCTGCTATAGTGTTTCCTTGCTTAACTTTATCACTCCAGAGACTTTAAGACTTCTTGGGTGGTCCAAACCATTAAGCACTCAGCTGCTAGCCAAAGAGTTAGTGGGATGAACCCAGACATTTCTCAGAATATAGGTTTAGCAATCTGTTTCAAGCCTTGATAACTCTATGAAGTGGTTCTACTCTTGTGTTTGAATCAACTTAACAGTAGATAACAATAACATTAACATTAGTTTGTTGGCATTGAACTGTAAACCAAATCACTAGTGATGAAATATAATCAATGGCACCAAAATGAAAAGCCTAGTGGTCTGCTTCCATCAACATTACAGTCAAGAAAATTCTTTGGGTCAGTTTTACATGCCACACATGGGGTCACCAGTAGTCAAAATCAACTCAAGGCCAATGGGGTTTACTTTTCTTCTTATGAGTCTGAGATTACTTGTATACATTTTTAAATACATATCTAATTGAATGATGATGTTTGTTGTTGTTTTTGTTGTGTACCAGTGAGTTAGAACCAACCATAACTGACCCTCCAGTGAGTTTTCTGAGGCAATTAATCACACGAGAGGAGATTGCCCATCCTTCTCCTGCAGAGCAACTAGTGGATTCGATTCACATGCCTTCGGGATTGCAGTGCAGCTTCTTGCCGCTAGGCCAGCAGTGCTCTCTGATTATATTTGACCCAATGATATTGGTGTTCTGAGATTAACCCCATCATGGAGTCACATTTGCCCAGTAACAAGTATTTCCTGAGTGTCTACTATATGCCAGGAGACAGAATGGGAGTCAGTAAAAGCAGTCAAAGGCACTTTCAAGGAACTTCATATGGGCTTAAGAAGCACTATTGCCATAGTGCATTATGGCTAACTGAAAGATTAGTGTTTCAAATCCACCAGTTACTCTGAGGGAGAAAGATGGGAAATTTTTTCTTCTACACATTTACCGCTTTGAATACTCAATAAAAAGTTGCTATGAACTGACTCCTCAGCAGTGGGTATATAGACTCTGGTGAGAGAGCACAGGAGGGGAGTGGGTAAACAAAGACTCAAAATATTATCATCATAAATATTACAAAGAGAAAATAAGACCTAAGTAAGGGATAGGAGTGATGAGAATGACTCTTGTGGCCAAGTGGTAAGGGGTTGTGTTGTCAACTCATAGGCACACAGTTCAAATCCACCAGCTTCTCCAAGGGTGAGAGACAGACAATCTCTTCTCATGCTATTTATAGCCTCTGAAAACCTGCTGGAGGGTCAGCTATGAGGTGGTTCCAACCCGATGGCACATAGCAAGTGATAAGAGTAAAAGGACTCCTGACGGTAAAAGGGGTTAAACCCCTCAGCTGTAAACCTAACCGCTGGCAATTCAATTCGACAAGTTCCTAGGGGGAAAAGCACCTGAATTCTGCAATCTGCTCCTGGAAAGATGTGCAACATTGGCAACTCTATGGGGCAGTTCTACTCTTGTATATGAGGGTGCTATGAGTCTAAATCAACTCCAAAACAAACAACAAGGGTTACAGCAGCATAAGAACTATTTCAGATCAGTTAATCAGGAAAGACTTCTCTGAGAAAGTGATATATGACACAGAGCTGGAATGAAGCAGAAGAGAAAAAACAAAGACCCTACAATGGAAATTGTGTTTGGCATGTTCCATAAACAGTATTAGTACAAATATGGCTGGAGAAAAAAAGAGCAGAGAGGAAGGAAGTAGCAGATGAAATCAGAAAGGTGGGAAAGGAGCCAGTATTGAGACATGTGGTTCATAATGAGCATGTCAAACTGATCCTTTCTGGAGCTGAAACAGCTCAGGAAGATGTGTGCCAGAAATAGATCAACAACAAAACCATTGTGACATTCTGGCAGGCAGGTCTTACTCAGAGTGGGTCATAGAGTATCCACAGGGTTTTATTTACAGTATAGTCCAATTCTAAAAGTACTTGAGAATATAATTACTCTGACTGCAGGATTTGGGGAAATTACCCGAGGAATTGTGTGTATGTTCTATTTTTTAATAAACCTTTATGGTTGAGCCAAACTGAAGGACATGCATATGTAATCTTTGAGACCGTGAATCATTATCAATAATGTAGTTAATATCTCAGAATGGCTTCACATGTAGAACAGGTATAATAACAGCATGCAAGAATATAAACATAAATGTAAATGTAAATGAAGATAAAGGTAAATATGAAGGTAAAGTGTATTACTTGGGGATTATTAGAAGAAGCAGTGCTACCAACCAACCTAAAGGCAAATGGTTCAAATCCACCAACTGCTCTGTGGGAGAAAGATGGGCAGTCTCCTCCCGTGAGATTTACTGACTTTGAAAACTTGCTAGAAGGTCAGCCATGAGTCAGTTCTGACTCAAACAATTATAAATTCCTGGAACAATAAAGCTAGTTCAAAAGAGAATGATATTTCATTAGAAAGGCATGGAGTCTTTCATAGAATACAAGGGTAGGAATGCAGTCAGGCCTGGGTGGTGGTGTTAACCATTGTCAGTTTTGGCCCCTGATCCTTGTTCACCCTGTGCACAATGGAATTAAATTCTGCCTGGTCAAAAACCCCCTGATCAGACGCAGATCAGATTGTTGGTGATTCATGGGATTCTCCTCCCCTCCCACTGGCTAATTTTAAGAAGTACATTGTCAAGTCTTCCTTCCTTGCCTTTCTTAGTTCAAAAGGTTCACCTGTTCAGCATCATAGCAGCACATAAGCCTGCACTGGCAGATGGTAAGTGGGTAAGTAAGTAGTGCTTTGTCTAGGAATTAAACCTGGGCCTCCTCTATGGGGAGTGCTATAGTGGCTTGGTGGAAGGGAGTGTGCAGCTAACCCAATGTTGTTGTTATGGTTGTTGTTATTGTTGTTGTTGTTCATTACCTTTGAGTGGATCATGATTCATAGTGACCCCATGAACAGAAGATCTGCAGCCCCTCCACAGGTTTCTGGAAGCATTTTATTTAGGAAGTGGTTGCCACTCCTGTTCAAATTCACCAGCTGCTCCATGGGAGAATGATGGACAGTCTCCCTCCATGTGATTTACTCCCTCTAAAAATCTGCTGGAGGGTCAGTTATTGGTCAGTTCTAACTCAACGGTATAGAACAACTGCTTTATAAAAGGCAAAGGTTTTGTCATGAAACCATCACGGCCTCAGTCAGTTCTTAACCCACTAATATGTAGAGCGCCGGTGGCTTATTGGAAAGCAATGCTAACATCAAAGGTATGTGATTTAAAATCACCAACTGCTTCATGGAAGAAAGATAAGTAATGTCGTCTCCATGAGATTTACTGCCTGTGAAAAGTTATTGGAGGGTCAGGTATTGCAACCTGACTATACATATCAACAAGAATGTCAATACTAATTCATGGCAATCCTCTCATTACCTCTCAAGGCTGTAAATCCTTAGGAGAGGAGCCTGACAATCTTTCTTCCACAGAGTAGCTTTTTAGTTAACAGATCAATATATAATGTTCCATAAACTGCAGTACCAAGGCTCTTAGAAAGGCCTTAGAAACAGCTTTTTCAAAACTAAAAAATTGCCATGGCTCTTTTATTTCTCATTTCAGCTTCTCTACCCATCTGTTTCATTCTCAGCTCTGTCTGTGTGTGTAAGAAAATATCATTGGACAACTTTGAATCAGTTGTTTCTGTTGTTGATGCAATCAGTTATATGCATTTATAAGGGGGGGCATGATACAGGATAGGTCAGGGTTCAGGTCAGCTATTCAGAGAGTCACTATGAATTGTATTCAACTCAACAGCACCTAACAACAATTTGCATTTATTAAGCAGGCAAATTCAACAAATGGAGTGATGGGGATTACACAACATAATTGATGCAAATAATTCACAGAATCACACACATGAAAATGTTGGCTTGGCAAATATCGGGTTTGCTGTACTTAAAAACATTTTTTAAATGCAAAAACTAACTTGGAAAAAATAAAAATACAATTGGGGAAAAGGAAAGAAATACTCTACACTCCAAGAGGTTATTTTTAGAAAGTGATAAGTAATAAGGCAGACAAAAAAAATTAAATAAATACTTGATGAAAAATCACACAAGAGATGCATTTTATTGAGAGTTGCCTTCGAATTACAGAATTTCTCCATCATACCAACATGATATAAAGGGAGCGGGGGAAATATATTTGAGTCAGATGAATTGGTTTGAACTTCAGCATTATCAGTTAGTGGTCATGTGACTCAGTTCTCTCTAGTTCCCAGCTAAATAAAGCAATTGAATTAGATTTTCTTTCAAGCAGTTGCCAGGTAGACTTTCATAGAATCTTTCTGCTTTGTAATAATTGATTAGAAATTTGTCTTTAGAATAACTGAAAGCATAAAGCAAATAACAGAAAATGTGCTACTGAAGAAGCCTATAGACCTGTTTAGTCTTGACCTATTAATAATTAGCAGTTTGGCCTTACATAATATAGAAAATTGCTTAAATCTTCTAGGCCTAAGTGTTTTGGGCTGTAAAGCAATGGCTGCTTCAGTGAATTCTTGTGATCAATGAGCAAGAAAATGTATGCTAAGCACCTGACTCACGTGTGTGTTTAAGCCTTATTATTATTGCTGTCAAATTTTGAAAATTCTTGAAGTCATCTGCGTCATCTTTATCCTTTTGCATAAATATTCAAGGAAGTGACAATTATATTCCACCACTCTGCCAAAGTACTCTGATGACGGTCTGGTAAAAACAAAATGAGATTAGAGAGCTGGATTTTCTCAAGAAAATTAACCTCACACAAATGACAACTCCACACCATCCACAAACTCCCTGTACCCTGAATAATTTATATTAACTTTGTAAACTAGAACTTTCTAATTTCTTTCCCGGCAGATGTGAAAGCATGGAGCTAGATAATAAGATCCGGGATCTAATTGAGAGGAATGCCTCTCCTGGTCCAAAAGGTGTCTGCCCAGAGACCATATCAAGTCATAGAAACCTGTGTTCTCTGAAGGTAAGAAAATACCTTCTTTCTGATTTTTCTCAGTAAGCCCTTAAATAGCTGGTTCATTATGAAGAATTTATGGGAACAGTTTTCAAATCATTTACAGGCAGTCACTACTTCCTTGATGGCTGAGAGGATAAAGTGAATCAGTATAAAACTTCTCTTACTCAGTCACTTCCTGTTACTAAAGACACCCATCATCAAAAAGCACTTTCCAGTTTAAAATGTGATACCAGACAGCAGTGACTACAGGGAAATGAGAGAGAACATACACTAAAAAGAATGTTTCATGCAGTGATAATTTGGGTAGTACTAGGAGTTGGCAGTTTAAAGTCCTCTTAAATTGAGCTACAAAAATCAGCACAAGTGATGCTCGTGTTTTAAGAAAAACCAAGGCTGTGTTTATTAAAGAAACTGTTTTTTAATTTCCTCTTGTTTCAGAATTTTTTTCTATGATACTCTGTATACGCAAGTAAAAGCCAAGGATAAGCTCCAACTAGGAATTTCTGGATGACTTTACAAATGTATTATCTTAAGTGACAGCATATGCTTTTACAATGTGATGACCTCCAGATTAAGGCTAGTCTTTAAATATTACCCCCCCCAAAAAAAAACACCCTACATCAAATATAAGAGGATTTGAAAGTATGACTCATGCAAAAATATTAGATCACTTATACTGCCTTGGTACTTCTTTCTATAGTGATTGACACACATTGTAAAAAATTTATATAGTTAAGCACAGAGATGCTATAGAAATCTTGATGAGACAGATCTATTGTGGAGCTAATCACACTCAAAGCCTGCTACCACAGAGTCAATTCAAGTCACGAAGACTATCCATTGGATCTCTGAGGCTGTATTTCTGTTGTTGCTTTGTGCCATCACGTCAGAACCATAGTGGACTCTCTCGAGGGTTTTCAAAGACAGTAAATGGCATGAGACTGCCCACTCATCTCCCACAAAGCACTGGTGGCTTAGAATTGTGCCTTTGAAATTGCAGAGCAGCTTCCTATCTCAAGGCCACCAGAGCTCCCTTAAGTATTTCTAGGAGGAGACTATAATAATCTTTCTTCCAGGTAGTAGATGGAGGATTCAAACTCCCAACCTTTTCAATTAGCATTTAATGCATTGTTCACCGTGCCACCAGAGTTATATAATGAAGCTTTTAGTTCTCTAATCAGATATTTGCATTTGTATTTAAATTGTAGTCATAAATTTGTATCTGTCTCTTAATGGAGGTTCCTGAATTTTCTAAACCTCAGAAAAGCAATGACTGGGAAATGGCCTGTGGGTCTATCACTCATTGAAGGCAACTCAACTTTTTGAGAGTCTCTGTGTGTGTCTCTCTTTCATTCTTTCTTTCACTCATCTGCTTTATGAATACATTTTTTCTGAGTTATATGTCCTGATTCTTTCTTTCTTTCTTTCATTCTTTCTTTCACTCATCTGCTTTATGAATACATTTTTTCTGAGTTATATGTCCTGACTATTCATTTTGTAAACAAATAGTGTTGTATCAATTCAGGATATAGTCATGTTTCCTGTTTATAATTTATTTGTTTTCTAAAACCAGGCCAGTTACTGTCTCATAGTGACCCTGTGGATGTCAGAAACCTGTGTTGGTTAACGTGTGGCCAATGCCCTGATTCTCCCTTCTCACACAGACAAAGAAATTGTGCCAGATAGAAGAGACTAGAACCAAGCTAGAAGAGTGTACAAAAATTTTAGGGTTTGTTGGGAGAGAAGATTTCAGTGCTTGGAACAGTGAAGTGTAGGCCAGGATTATTTGTTAGAATACATGGCTGACTCCTTGTCTAGGAGTCAGAAGTGAAAGTTAAAAAAAAACCCAAAAAACGTAAGATAGATTTGTTAGAAAGTTACATCACAAATGGAAGAACCTTCCAAAGCAAATATGGGGGAAGAAGCATGCCAACGAGGTGAGGTTGTGTTTGGCATCAGAATTGAAGGAAGACTCATTGACAACCTATGATATGCAGATGACATAACCTTCCTTGCTGAAAGTGAGGAGGGCCTAAGGCATTTGCTACAGAGGGTCAAAGACTGTAGTTTGCAGTATGGATTGAAGTTCAACATCAAGAAAACAAAGATTCTCATCACTGGGCCCACTGGTTAGCAACATGATAGATGGAGAAAGATCAAGATTGTTAACAATTTCAGCTTGCTCAGTTCCACAATCAAGTCTTGGCACCAGTAGTCAGGATATCAAAAGACAAATTGCGTTAGGAAAATCTGCAGTTGGGGACCTCTCCAAAGAACTGAAAAGCAGCAATGTCAGTCTAGAGACTAAGGTGCAACTCTTCCAGGCTATGGTCTTCACAATTACTTCCTATGCATCAGAGAGCTGGACAACGACCAAGAATGACAGCAGAAGAATGTATGCCTTTGAGTTGTGGTTCTGGAGAAAAGTGTTGAACATACTAACAGGTCTGTCCTGGAGAGGGTGAAATCAAGCTGCTCTCTTGAGGAAAGGATTTTGAGACTCTGTATCACGTACTTTGTTGTGTGTGTGTGTTTTTTAATAATATTTTATTTTAATTGTGATTTTAATGAGCATTTACAAAGAAGTTAGATTTTCATTCATTCATTGTTACACGTTTTACCCCTCACCTTTCCTTCCCCATTCACTTAAAAATATTTATACATTGTACTTTGGGCATGTAGGTAGGAGTGACCAGTCCTTGGAGAAGGATATCATGCTTTGAAGGGTTGAGGGACAGCACAGGAGAGGAAGACTTTGGATGAGATGGTTTGACTCAGTGACTGGAATAATGAGGGTAGCTATGTCAGAGACAGTGACATTGGCTCAGGAGAGAGCAGGATTCAGAGCTATTGTGCATAGATAGGGTTGCTATGAATTGTAGTTAACTCAACAGCTCATAACAACAACAGTGACACCTGGGTGGGCCTTGGGACTGGAGCCTGGTCCAATGAGTTGATGCCATGATTATACAAAATTTAGCGGGTGGTTCTCTTTCGGATCACGATTCTCTGAAGTCATTCATGCACCCAAAGAGTCCACTGCTTCTGTCATCATTCATGCACCCAAAACACTAATTCTATTCATGTCAATACCAGCTTTCTGATTCTGATAATTCAGTTCTCCAAGTATAAACTTCTGCCTTTTATCTTCTTGGTTCTCATCTGAACACACTCAGCCAAGTTGTCAGTGGCTAACTTTTATTATTAAATTTTATTCATTTTAATGAACATTTATTTACAGAGATTTTGGGTTTCCATTCATTCATTGTTGCACTATTTTCTCTACCTTCCCATCCTCCCCCCCAGTTCTTTCCTCTCTTTTTTTCCCCCCATCCTTGACAGTCTGTTTTAATTGTCCCATTGAGTGGTTAACTTTTGGAGTTCTGGTGGCATAGTCTGTCTATAGGGAATTATGCTGCTAATTCAAAGGTGGTGCTATCTGGTCGTTTGATTACATCAGCATCTCTTCCAGAGGACTATGGGCTCTATCTTTCTGTGTCTAAAGAAAACCCACTGGAAAGTCAGCTATGAGCCAGTTTCCACTTGATGGTAACGTGTTGAGCTGTTGAGCAAACCTCTTTGGAAGCAGATTGCCAGGCTTTTCTTCAGAGGCACCTCCTGGTGGACTCAAACCTCTCACCTGTAGACGAGCAGTCAAACATGTTAATATTTGCATCACCCAGGGACTCCTTCTTTCTGAAAATATGATCTTTATCTTTAAGATTACAAATGAACAATGAATTCTTAGTAATTATAAGAAGCCAACAAAGCCTTCCTTCTTTCTTTCCCCTTTCCTCCTTTCACTTCCACTCCCAGACCTAATGCATGCATTTCTATGAGAACTATACATGCATGAAAACTATACACTCCTTCAACATCTGATTCTCATCTTTTCTGGATGTTGTTTTTGTTGTTAGATGTCGTCAAGTATGACTCCTAGCAACCCTATGAACAGGCAACTTGAACCCTGCCCTATCCTGTACCATCCTCATCATCTCTGACACACTTTGCTCCATTACCCCAATTACTGCACCATACTGACACAGTGGTGAGAATTTTTATTTCCCTGATATTGAGCTTCAACCTATATTGAAGGCTACAGTTCTTGACCCTTTGCAGTGAATGCTTCAGGTCTTCCTCAGTTTTGGCAAGCAAGGTTGTGTGATCTCTATAATGCAGGTTGTTGATGAGTCTTCCTCCAATCCTGATGCCACACTCCTCCTCATAGAGCTCAGCTTCCCGGATGACCTGTTCTGTATACCATTATTGCCCTTTATTTTTTTTTCTTTTTTAAATGCTTCAGTGTCTTAATTTATCTTGGACAAGTTTTGGTGATTTTCTTCATGTTCTGTATTTCCTTTCTCACAACCAGAACAGCGACTGCAACAATGGGCTAAAAAACCACAATGATTGTGAGAATTGGACAAGATCATGCAGTATTTCTTTTCCTGTTGTACAGCAATGGCCAGTATAAGTCAGAGGAAGTCTGCAACACCTAACAATGATTACAGAGATTATTTAGTTGTCTTTCCATCTTTCTATGGCCACTTCATATTGTCTCTAATTTTCTGTATCCCACTTCTACCTTTTCAGTTTCTGTGGATATTAAGGTGTAACAGTTAGACAACTAGAAACTTTCTGTAGATGTCTTTACCTAACAGCTACCTAATAAGGGAAATGTTTATCACATACAAATCTGCTGTCCTTTACGCATACTGTAAGAAATGAGAATGCTTCACCCAGGGACTAGTAGGCGGAACTGACTCAGAGAGAAATGGAAGTAGAGGAAACTGACTACTATGAAGATGGCAATGGGGTATAGAATAGGTCTCTAGCATGCAAGGAGGGATCCAAAAAAACAGAAAGAACAGAATTGGGAAGCAGATCAGACACGAGCCAATGGATTTTAGCAGAAGCTAACCCAATTATCTGCTACACATCAGAGCGAGTTGCACAATGAATAAGGAAGACAGAAGAAGAATTAGTGTCTCTGAGGTGTGATGCTG